CAGCCTTACGCGCAGCAAGGGCCGTGCTGAAGCAGCAGCTGAAAGAATCGACCAAAGAGATTCGCAAGGAGCCAAATGTTCCGCCCTTGCCATTTTACCCTTGGTGTGGAGAACAGATTTTGGAGCCAAATCCTATAGACACGGAGCAAAATAAAGTTAAAACATTTCAAAAAACTGTTAGGAGCTTGTTGAGCAAATCCCATAGGCACGGAGCCAAATAAGGTTAAGACATCTCAAAATACTGTTAGGAGCTTGTTGGGCAAATCCTATAGGCACGGAGCAAAATAAGGTTAAGAAAGTCCACATAATAAGAAAATGAATAGAATCATCTAATTCTTTTGATTGTGAATTTCTAAGTTCTTAACCTTATTTGCTCCAATTCCATTAGGATTGCAGTCCGGAAGTCTTCCCTGTATTTTTCGAATCCTTAACCTTATTTGCTTCACTTACATTGGGATTGCACTCTGGAAGTCTTACCCTTATTTCGCCACCCCTTACCCTGATTGCTCCATTTACATTAGGATTGCACCACGCAAATTGACACTCACCTCCCGGAGCCTCATCCTTATATCATCTCATCACACAATTTTCAGCATATTGCCGGATGTGGCGGCAGCTCAGCTGCTGGCGGCTGTGGCGGCTGTGGCGGCTGCTGCTGGCTATGGCGGCTGCTCGTGGATGCAGCGGCTGTGGCGGCTGCTGCTGGCTGCGGCTGTGGTGGGTGCGGCAGCTTGGTGGATGCGGGTTGCTATGGCAGAGGCCATCGGCTTCAGCGCCATCACCTGGAGGGAGGGTTCACATCATATTGGCACTTGTTGGCTAGATTTTCCTCCTAAGTTTGCAAGTAGATGAGATTTGGCATTGGGTTGTTGCGGCTGGCCGTGGCTAGGGCGCCTGCGTTTCTTTCGTTTGTGTCTTGTCCTCCTTGTGGTCTTTGTCCCTGTCTTCTTGTATCTCTCCCCTGTTTCTCCCCTCGTTTGTTTTCCTGCCATTGTCGCCCTGTGCAGGTGCCTACAGCGACCTCGAGCTCTACACGCAGCGGCCCCTTGGCTTGCTTGTGGTTGCTGCTTGCTGCTACTGCTGCTGGTGTTGCTGCTGCTGTCGCTGTTGTTTGTTGCTGGCCTGGCTGCTTCTGCTGGTTGCTGCTGCTGCTGCCGGTTGCTGTTGCTTCTGGTGGCTGTTGCTGCTGTTGTCTTCCTGTCGCTGTTGTTCTTGCTGCTTGTGATTGTTCTTGCTGTTGGTGTCGTTGTTGGTGCTGCTGTTGCCCCTTTTTGGTACTCTTTCTCTCTCTCTTGCTTTCTTTCGCCTTGTTTCCTTCTCTTCTGCTTGCCCTCTCTCTCTCCCTGTCCTGCTCGTTGTCTTTGTGGCTGTTTGTCTTGTCTGTTCTCTCTTCCTTGTTCTCTCCGCCTCTGTCTGTCTCTGTCTCTATACTCTCTGACCTTGACCTCTACTCCCTAGCCCGGCCAGCACTATCACTTCTGACTGCGCCAGACTGAAGTGACAGAATCAGTTTGACTCAAAGTATGACTCGCAGTATGAATGCAGTATGAATCAATGAATGAGATAAGCAGGTAGGAAATGGCGGAATGATGGCGGAATATTTGATCTACTTGAGCTGAGCTATGGTATGGTATATCTTACACATTGTCCAGTTGCAGCCGCATCGTCAGCCGCAATTTTTTTTTTGAGCAGCCTTGTAGAAAACAGCCCAGGAGTCACAACCTATATGGTAATCGATCTAAAGGTCCTTGCAAAGAGTTTTAATTGCGAAGACCGTTCATGTTATGCTGGAAAGTAACATGTTTATTCACGAAGAATGGCCGTTTGCGGATAAAGTAATTTTGATCAACAACCATATAACATATGCCAATGTGAATGCGTTTTTGAAGGCTGCTTTATTCTAATTCGCACGTATGCTTGCATCATTCAATGGCATGAAGCGCCGGAGATTGCGGTCAAAGCAAAGGCCTCCCCCATGCTATGATGAAAAAAGAGAAAGTGAGGACGGTCATGTTCTACCACTTGCTGCGAGTGCAGCTGTTGCAGTTGGCGAGAGTCATGCATGTGAGGCGGGCCCTGCAGAAGCGGAAATTGTTGATGCTGCAAACGCAGCCCTTGCTGAAGCTGTGGACAATGATGGGCATGAAAATGCAGATGCCGCTATTCGTTGGCAGTTGCTGAGTAAGTATAAGGCTGTGCAAGGCTTGGTTGCAGCTGTGATTCGTGAGAAGAGCGATGAGGAGCTCCACAACATTTCAATCAACATCATCTTGGACGATATCCAGGCAAAAGCTTCCAACAAAATCAGCATGTCAGAACTTCTGGAGGAGAAAGACGAGTTTGTAGCGGCTACAATGTCCGCAGTTCCAAAAGAGCTATCTCGACGATTGCTTCTTGCTGTGAACAAGCCACAGGCGCATGCCAGGCGACCAGCACAAATAGATTCACAATGTGTCCAAAAGACTTACCTGCTCACCTTCTCCAACCTGGATCCAAGCAATGCTCCCACCAGGGAAACCATCCTTGAGACCGTCTTGCAGGCATTTGGCGCTGCAGGCTATGGTTCGGATGTTTGCGTGACGCATGCCTGCGTCTTCCGGGAGACGCATGGCAGTGGACAGTGGCACTTCCATGTGCCGACAGCATTGTCGCACCCTTGTCGATGGGTTGGATGGAAAAAAGAGTTGTCGAAAGCTGGCTACATTGCTCATTTTGCCAACATGGCTATTGATTACCACAGCAAGCACAGAAAAATGCAATATGCCCATATGTTGCGGTACCTCTGGTTGCCATCTGACAAGAAGGGCCTGTCCGCCTTGGACAAAGATCCCTTGTTGTGGTGCAGTGGGGGCCGGAAGCATCCGCCTCTTCTAGATGCGATCAATGGGGTCTTGGACAGTACTGCAATTGAAGAGAAGGTGGCAGAGCGTTTTTTGCAGCGTTGGTCTGCGGGCAAGCGTGGGCCATGCAAATTCTCTGACTTGGAGTTATGGCCAATAGTGAAAGAACTTGGGCTCACTGCCGATGACCCTGTCCTGCTTGCTAAACTCCTTCAGCATGGGCGAAATTCCGGAAATGAAAGATTGCTGAACTACCTCTTCCGCACAAACAACACCATCAGAGAGAAGGTCGCCATGTGCTGCACACTAGAATCATGTGATCGCGTCATCGCAGATTCTCAGATAACTACGTGGAAGCGTGTCACTGCCGCCTTGGGGCGACAGTGTTGTTGTGACAGAACTTGGGCACCAGCAGCTCGCGAGATTCTCCGCAACAATAACATTGAGGAGGGGAAGCTTTGCCAACATTTGCGTCAGGCCCTCATGCTGGGCATGCAGAAGAAGGGAGATGCAGTATGCTTCACAGGTTCCGGAAACGAGAGCAAAGCTTCATTTTGAAGCCATTGCGTGAAATTTTCCAGCGCGTGCCTTGGCTACCGCTTTCACATCACATGGTTTCTGACCCTCACCCGTTTCCCAACGATCATATTTTTTAAAAAGATCCACTTGCGGACAAGTTTCTGCCCCCCGGGGGGACTCAAGTACTATGCACATATTTGTTGATGCCCGAGACGAGTCCAGTAACTGGGAATTGATTCTTGTAACGGGATTTTCACGCCTTGGTACCATCGAGATCTATCAACCTGTAACTATGGGGACCAACAATACCCAACTCTTGCCATGCATTCTTAACATGGTAGACCTTATTTCCTTGTTTGTGGCCTCCCCTTTTTGGACGGCCAGACGTTGATGTGCCCTCCTCAGAGCAGCCGAGGTGTTCGCCTGTCCAGCTCGATACCTGACCCATGGATCACGTTTTATGTCAGCAGTAACCTTATTATGGTTGCAAAAAAGGAAAAAAAAAACGTGCGACGCTACGCATCAATCGGCCATTGAACTTGTACAGTGGCCATTTGGATTTTCGACCGACACAACCCACTTTTCTCACATGTAACTGGCAATCGTTGTTTGTGCCGAAAGGGTGCTGGTCCGAGAGTGAGTTGCTGATGCTCCAGTCCAGACTGACCATTTACCGTTTCCAGCATAGAATCGAAAATTTGAAGGACATCCCGGCATGTCCATGTTGCTTCACCATGTTCATACTCTCTGGAGGGAAAAATGTAGCAAAATTTCTTGTTGCAGGATTCCCGAGTGTCTAGCTGTGTGCTGACTGCACCTAATTAAATGTTAAAGGAGCCGCTGTCACTGGTCCATCCGTTTTGCATGTTTCTCCCGACAACATAGAAAGTACCCAGCCCCATATAAAAACCCCTCGCCCCGAAATCAAAGTTGATTGTTTCATTGGACCTGGATCCGCGGCAGTGACGCTGTACTATATTTGGATGCCAGCAAGTCTCCAGTTTGCGAAAAACAACATTGATTTAGAGGGGCATGGGGGAGGATGATGGTATGACTTCTTTCCCTCTGCCTCTGATTGCATTTCATTGCCTTTGTTTCTGCCGGTGCTTCTTGCATATATCTCTCCGCCTTGTTGCTTGAATTTCTGCAGCTCAGGTTTGTGGCCCACCGCAGACACTCGTGGGGGACAGAAAAAGGGCTTGATTCGGCAGCATGACCAGTGTCGTACTTGTGGCCCCTCCTTGTGTGTGTGTGTCTCTGTCTCTACATCACTGTAGTTGCAGCCAGGGGTGCCACCGATTTCCGATTCATTTGCAGTCACTAGAGTTCATTCCTCAAGTGTTTTTGTTTCCAACAATTCCTCTTATGTCATAGCCATGGTTGGCAGGGTTGGCATGCTATTGAGCGTTTGGTGTGCTGGGCCCACTGTTGTCACGTTTCAAAATGCAGCTCTGCTCTGGCTGTATGAATCAGAATGGTTCAAAGCAGCAGGGTTGTAGAAGACGGCATACCTATTGTTCTCAAAGCAGGTTCAAAAATAGATAGCAACAGGAGACAAGCCATGTTAAACTCATGCTACAATACATATCATATAGGTATAGCAAAACCTTCAGCCAGACAGTTTCAGTAGATCCTTTACTCATGTCAGTAGCCGCCGAAGCCGTGGCCTGCTTGGCAGAGAAGAAGGTGACAGAACTCCGAGCAGCCCTTCTGCTGAACCAAAGGCACATACGAAATTGCCAGCAGCAATCTCGCAGAGAAGCTGCCTCGCTGCTCAAAGGCGGCCTTTCTTGCCACTCTGAGCGAAAAGTTTTGGCCGTCTATGCTTTGTCAAACTGGGATTTGAGTTTGGCTCTGCGAGCGGCACAGCGGCTGTCCCGATTGCCCCAATGTTCTGCAGCATTTCCAACATCAGATTTTGTCAGGGCTCTCTTTCGTAACCACAAGTGGGAGGACTTTTTGATGTTACATGATGAAGGCTCAGCACTTTGGGGACCTGCCCGAAAGTTTGCACGGCAGTTCCTCCTGGAACACGATGCTTGGTGTTGGGTGAAGCGTCAAAACCTTTCTCAAGGCGTGGCACCATCAGCGGCAGATGTGTTTCATTACTATGAGAACAAGGCGCTTCAGGTGGAACCTTGTGGACAGCCTCGCCGCAGGACTGTTAACAAATGGGCTGCTCGTTGGCGGGCTCGGTGGGGTGTTCGCAGGGCATGCCTGCGGTCAGCTGACACAGTGGATCCCAGCATTTTTTCCAGGGCGAGTAATCCAAGAATGCGGACATTTTACAGCGAATGTTGTGGCGAAAATACTAGTAGCGTCCTTCCCTCGGGTTCCTCTAGCTTTTGGAACCTGAACCCTTTTTTGGTTGAAAATGAAAGCATCCCTGGTTTCTGGGGCCGCTTTTTGGGACACAAATGGGTCGCTTTTCTAGGGCCCCAAAACATTGTACTTGAGCCATTTTTTAAAGTCTTGTTTGCCACTTTTTTGAGACCCGAATCTTCGTTTTGCCAGGTGAAGGCGTTCTGGAGATCCATTGCCTATGTGACCGAGAAATTTGGCCACCAGGAACTGGTTTGGATCAACTTCGATGAAACTTCTGTTCCTTGCTGTCCACCATGTCCGAAAGGTTGCGTGGTGAATGACTGGAAGTCTTACCCCGTGCCAGGGGGTCCACAAATGCCGGTCCCCAAAAGTCGGCGGAGGATCGCCTACACATACGGGGCCTTGCTTTGCAGTCATCCGGGCATTCAAGCGGTGCTTCCGCACTTCCTGGTTTGCAGCGAGAAGAGGCTTCCCCAGACTGTCGCCAAAGGTTTTGCAGCGCTGCCACCGACGAGGTTGCGGCTTCTTCGCAGAAAATCTTCTTGGGTGACAACAGATTGCATGATCCGAATTTTGGCAGATGTGAGAGAGGCGCTCCAGCCTTGGCTTCCAATGGTTAAACCAATACTCGTTTTGGACACAGCATCTCCTCATCTACCTAAAAGGTTGATGTCTTTTGCCAAAAGGAAAGGTTTTCAGCTTCTTTTTGTGCCAGCTTCCAGCACTGGCCTGCTACAGCCGCTAGACACCAGTGCTTTCAGTGCATTCAAGCTTTGGATAAAAAGAAAAAACCAGCAGCTGCGGCGCACCGCCCAAGGCGGTGAACCGCAGCAGCTTGAGTTTCTGTGGCAACTGGGTCAAGCTCCTCGAGAATTTTTCGCCAGCAGACAATGGGCCCACGCTTTCGAAAGCGTTGGGTGCGGGCGAGATGTGACAAAGTTGCATTCCGCCTTGCGAAATTTCATGCAGAATCCAGTGTCCTTACCGCTTCCTGCCAAACCCACTCCGGCAGAGATGGCTCTCATTTGGCCTAAAAGGCGAAAGATGAGCTATGCGGATGCATGTTTGTTCTGATAACACCAAAGGTGTTGAAGTCCAGATCTGCTGTTGCAAAAAGGCAGATGCAACCGGAGAGCAGCAAGTGTGACACTGTATATACATAATATAAACAATACAGTTGCCCCATGTCACGATCTGCTGAATCATGGTATTGAATCCCCTGGTCCAATCACCAAACACGATCTGCCCTCCGGCTGTGTAAAAATCTCTGCTGCTCCTGGGCAGAAGGCATCACCGTCCAGATCTTGGAGAATTGCCTGGGAGAGACTTGGGGAAATAACAAGGGCGACCCCACAAGCATGGGAATTCAAATCCTTTTTCGGAAATCATGGGGATAGAAAGGCTACAATAATAGCGATTGTATACTTGTATTATAAGTATTGTGTGTAACAAATTGGTGTTACATTACAAAACAACCAATGCCTGGGATTTTGCTTTTGCAATCGAATGGGAAAGGAATGGGTACAATAACCAACTATAATCGGATTTGATTAGTGAGTTTCATGGGATTTAGTGGGGGACACCATTTGGATCGATTTGGTGGATTTTGAAATCTGTTGTGTAATGTTCTTTCAAGTTATGGCAACAAAAATGGGCTTATAGTATCTTATAGTAATGCACAAAACGATGCAGAACATTTTGACAACTTATCACGCTTACTGTAGATAAAACAGTATTTCTCATGATTTAGCACTGTTTTCCAATATGGATTTATATATATATATATATAAATAACCATATACAACCATATATAACCAAAAATAACCAAAAATAACTATGATGGTGAACCCAAATCCTCCATATTTTCCTATGGTTTTCCAAGGGTTTTCCCATGACAAAATATGACCAAATCTGCATCTCGAATCCCGCCTGCGCTGCCACCTCTCATCGCCCTCCTCCTGGCGAGAACCAACCAGGCTATGTTTAATGGCTCACTGGTTGGTGGTTGACCTACCCCTCTGAAAAATATGAGTCACTTGGGATCATTATCCCATATATGAAATGGAAAATAAAACCCATGTTCCAAACCACCAACCAGCTCATAATATGCAGCCTGTAAACGTTTACAACGAGGTGAGGTGGAACATCCAGCATATGTAGATTGTTTTTCCGGGTTTACCATGGGTTTTTGCACATCTGTGAGTTTACCCTATAGGGTCATCTATCATACAATATCAAACTACAACCCCTTTTATGGGACTCCAATAGATGGATGATGCAAAAAAGAAAGCAATGGTTTCCGAAGGAGTGCCAGGCTAGATGATGAAATTTGGGCGCACTCAAAACGATGTTGTTTTCTACACCGGAGCAAGAAATACTAGCCAGTTCCAAACCAACTAAATGGGTAATTTGTTGCATCTCGTTAGCTTCAAAATTATGTGAGTAAGTAACTTATTTTGCAATAATACCTTCAATATCCTTCAATACTGGTGCATTTGTGCATCAACTCCAATTACCATCTGGTTATTTAACAGTTTGCTATGGAAAGATCCACCATTTTTAAGTTCGGTAAACCATCTATTTCTATGGGCCATCGAAAAACCATGGCTATGTAAACGTCATAACCAGAGGGTAAAAAAGAAGCCAACTCCGGCCATGTTAAAACGCCGCCGTCGCAGCAGATGCCTTTGGTTTCACTTCGATCTCTGGCAAGTCTGGTCCGATCGGCCTGCTGGACGTTGCGGGATAAAACGCAGCTGCCCCGATCAAAAAAAAACAGCAGTTCAGTGTCGCATTATGACACATTGAAGGTGGCTTCTATTATTCTATCATCCAGATCATATGATTAAATTATATAAACTATATTCTCATGATATTCCATTGGATTCCAAAATTATATCACCATTTTATTATATTACTTGTTCTGTTGGTTATACTACCCCAGATTCGTTGGGTTCGATCGCCTTTTCCTTTGTCCTTTTCAGTCTGTCCACTTTCAGGTGATCGCCTCTTGTGCAAGGCAAAGACATCCAGCCCCTGGTGCGATCCGATCACAGCGATGAGGGCCATGCGAAGAGAGTGATCATGACTGAATCATGTCTGCAAACATCTGCAAACATGCATTTATACTGTATATATATAATATGCATATTACATACATATAAATAGCATTAAGTAACTATACTATGTACAGTCGCGTAAAAAAAATACATATATCTGAACATGCATGATCAAGACAAGCATGTACCGTCCAGCTGTCCGGCAGCTAGAACACTGGGATGATGATGATGATGATGATGATGCCGATGACGATGACACTGTGAGCAAATGAGTGAAGTACCCAACCCATAGTTATCATATTTACTAGTTCCACACACTTTTCGATATTTCCAGCGCAATCCACTTTAGACGTTTCGCAAGTCTGAAAATTTCACGAAATGCCATGGTTGGTGCCTTTTCATACTTGGAGGCAGCTTGTATCGAATCAAAGGGCTGGACATACCATTCCATCCCATGGTTTTCCGGGTCACAAGCACCACATTGCTGGAACTTGGGCTTGTTGGATCCCCTGTTCTGAGATAAATCCGGCCCTGGCCCGGCCAAATCCATAGGATATGTCCCAGAAATGATCCAAAAAAATATGTGCATCACCAAGTTCTCCAAGTCAAAAAGCTATTTTCTTGGGAGTACTTTTTGCCCGTTTCTGGATGAACACTTTTTCAAATCACATGGTTGGGTAATAATATAATATGTAATCTATATATATATATCATAAACACTCATAAAAATTCCATATATCTCCAAAGTGATATCTATCATATTCTATCATACTCTACCCTCTTAAAATTTAAATATTGAAACTGGCCATGTATACTTGATGTACCTAATAAACATTGGCGGTTTTTCAGTTCTGTAGGTTACCAAAGGCTATCCCGATTCACGATCAATGGGTATGGATCAAAACTAAGTACCCCTAAACAATGGATGGAATTCGCTCGCGAATTCCATCGACATTCACATCTGTGGTTCCCTGAGTCTGAACTCTTGACCCATACAGTTTATGGCCCAAAAAAACGTTATAACTTATAACTGGCTAACTTACCGCATTGAAGTGATTTTTAAAATTTCACCTGAGTTGTGAGATTTGTGTACTGGAATTACAGCTATTATAGCGTATACCCTCCAGTAAATTAACATAGTCCCTGGCAGATAGGGGTTGGAAGATGAGTTTCCATTAAACATTGGTGATTTTCAGGGTCAACAAATTTACTTACCAGAGGGTAGCCTACAGGAATTCAACATAGCTATGGCAGCTATGGCAGCTATCACCCATGATGATCTCCTGCCTCGAAGAAGTCGTGCTTGGCTGCAGAGGCCACTGAAGAGCGTTCCTTCACGTCCTTGCCGCTAGCCCCGGAGGTTGTTGACCATCAAAAATAGCTAGCTGATATTAGGTGATTTTCCAGGTCAAGCTATTTTTCGGATTTGAGATGATTTATAACTATCTTAAGAGATATCTTGGTCCCATTTACTTTGATGTTTTCATTTTCGGACTTGATCTGAAAAAGGTGACTTTCCATGGCCATGGCCAAGCATACTGGAGGCCAAATGGATTTTCAGCATTTTTTTTACATAGACATTGACAGTTGTATGGTGGGGTTTGAAAGTTCTGTGCATTCAATAAGCGTTGACAATAACCCATATGCTCCATGTATGGAATATTTACGAACATTTGCCCTTATACGCACCCAAATGTAGGTAAATATACCATACATAGAGCATCTGGATAAAGAAATCATTGTTTTTGAACCAGACCAACGGAGTTTCCACTGATGACAGTACTACATGGCCCAAAATCACTGGGAGGATCTTTGAAATTGCTAACCTTCGCCCAGTGCATTTGTCCTGAACTACCAGGGAAAAACGGGAGGAACCCCCATGGATCATGATCCATGGTCGGAACACCAGCCAGTTGGTTCTTTTGGGGTTTCTAGCTTTGGGATATCCTCAACCATCCTTCGGGCTTCCGTTTTTCATTGGTTAACCCCCAAGATATTCTAAGGACTCCAGGGAAAAGAAATTATGGACTGCTGACTTTTTCAGGACCGTTATACACTTCAACCTAACTCTGCTGGCAGCTTGAGATTCCGCCAAAACAAGGGACACCTTCCACGAAGTAAACAGGTATCCCAACATATGGCACCACCCTCATAGGTGATCAGCGAGCCATGGTTGTTGCGAAAAACATATAAACTCATCTAATGGAATGAAACTGAAACAAACACATTGAATTCAAATGCCATTGATTTTTCATCACCCGAACCTCAGAGCATGGATGGTTGCCTTCGAAAGTCTGCAGAGGGCAACTTCCATAGGAATCCCATGATTGACTGATTGGTGGTTTCAACCAACCCCTCTGAAAAATCATGGACTTCGTCAGTTGGGATGATGAAATTCCTAACTGTTTCTGGAAAGTCATAGAATTCCCATGGTTCCAGTCACCAGCAACCAGATCATCTCATCCCATAAGCCCAGTCCGATTTTCCATCTTGTTGCTGGTGCAATGTGCCCATCTTGAAAAATATGAGTTCGTCAATGGGGTTGGGATGACATTTTCATTTCTCGTACTGCAAGAAAGTCCTGCTTGGGTCATGCCAAGAACTGTTGCTACTCTGTGCAAGTCCGACAACTTCATCCGTAGAAGTCTGGCTGTACAATTTCGTCGGACACAAAATCATTCGCAATCAGATCTACGAACTCGGTAGGCAAAACCTGAGTTCGAGAGCCGGCAAACGTATTCTGTACATAGTCTGCTACGGCAGAGGCCAGGGCTCGATTGAGTCCCTGGGGATAAACCTTACCTCGTGCGGTCTTGAAGATTCCAGCCCCATCCAATCCAACTAATGCCTCATGCTCAGAAGCCAAATGATTACACCTGCCCAT